CAACATTTCAATCATTTCTGATTTTATATAACTCCACAACATAATCTCCCTTTCTCAAAGAAAATATATATGTTTGTGTCATATGAGTACTTACACTATTCCAATGTCTGACTATTTATACTTTTCGTTACAAATAAAAAGCACTAACTTCTTGCACCAAGGAACAAGAGTGTAAAAGAGATTTATATCTACTAATTACTGTGAAATCACTAATTTTCATGGGGGTTAATTTTCGTTGCTTTCGAAGGATAATGAGTCCAACAAATTCATGACCACCATAAAATGTAAAATTTAATATAGCCATTACTACTCAACACTTCTCCAACCACAAAATCAAATCCCCATATGTCATTAATTTTCCTCAAACCTTGAAAATTTGCCCCCCCCCTCCCACAAAATATGTGAATTTACAGTATTAAATAGAAAAAAGTTTACACTGTACAAATGAGATTACTGCAGTAAATACTGGAATAAAGTAGGACTTACATATAGTTCCTGATGGAGTCTGGCAGGATCACCACACATCTCTGTCCTTCCCTCAGTCCAAAGTCCTTCGCTGCCTTAATGGCAATAGACATTGCTGAACCAGAGCTCCCACCTACATGTATCCATTCACAAAAGTATGTTTATAGTATCTACGCACATTTCCACTTATTCACCTGTTAGGCTGTTTACAATAATGGAACTGAACATTGTCACTGATTCTAAGGAAAAATTGTCTTTGAACCCTCTTGGTTGAATAAACTGCATTGCATTCCAAAGTCTTATCCATTCATAAGGAATGAATGTCATATAATCAATTTTGGTTTTTTCTTAACACAAAATATTACTAATTGGAAAATGGTGTTCTTTCCTTTATACAGGGATGAAGAGAAAAATGTAATATTATAATCATTTTAGGTAACAAAAAATCTTTTGGATTCTAAGTAAAAATACAACTGCTTCTTCCAACAGTCTTCTTTTGTTCAGAATAAAATAGTGCATTTTATCTATATTATATCAGTGTTGATGTACAGTATAAATACTTACCACAAAGTAGCCCTTCTTCCCTTATCATTCGTCTAGCCATGATGAAAGATTCCTTATCATTGGACTTGTACCATTTATCAACCAGCTGAAAATTATTTTAAAAATAACACTACACATAAAGTTTAAACCTCTCTATTTCCTTTTACAATATAAAATTTACCATATAATCAACAACTACTTCTCTGATAATCAAGTATAAATTCAAAACACACATAATACATATTCATCACTTAAAATTATTAAGTACTAAATGAAATACAGTAAACATTGGTTATAACCAAGTTGCTGAGACCTATGAAATAACTTTGCTACATCTGTAATTTGTTATATCTGTCTAAGGAATTTGTTAAATTTATATAGCTGGGGATCCAAGACAAATTTGCTTTATTCATGAATTTGCAATATCGGTGTTTGTACATAACAAGTTTTACTGTACAAACTTTAAATAAAGTTCTGATATAAATATACTTAGCAGTTACGTTCCCAGTACCTTTCTGTCACACACGGTGGGGATAAAATCATACCCCACACCCTCCACCTCATAGAAAGTGGTGTCTGACTTGTTCAGGGACTCTGGTTCTGCAATGACAGACCCCTCGGATCTAAACCAATTACCTGTTTGTACAAAAATTTAAGTTTATAATATACAATAATCTGACATAAATTAAAAAATAAAAGGGAGATTTCTTAGCCAATATAATAACTAAGTGTATTGATTTGAATCATTTAGTCAAGTTAGGAGTAAGATAAGTTTTAAATAATTAAATTTTCTGAGATCAACATGATAAAGTTCATCATGGTTCAAAATTATTTTAACTTGCATCTGTGTTTCATAAATTATTTCTTCTACTGTGTACACTAACAATTTTTGTATTGTTCACTGTCACCTACACTGAAGCATTCACAGTCATTTTATGATCAATACAGGTACTTACTTTACAGTTGGGACATCTGAGCTTTATTTTACGTGCGACTTCAGTGAGAGTTCCACCTGTACCAGCTCCCACTACCACCATATCTACTCTGTCTGTAACAAACAAGGCAGTAAGGATCAGATCATGCCATAGGTACATGTTCTTAACAAAGTAACAAATAAAAATAGATCTAACCACCCTCTTCTTGAACACAAAATGTGGTATTTATACTGACCATCACAAGCCTGGAGAATTTCCTCAGCAGTGCCATCAAAGTGAGCCAGGGGATTGCTTGCATTGCGATACTGAAATTAATAATACACAGTGTTGATGATGGCATGTTATTTGTGACTCAAGACCTCTTACAGGGTAATGCTTCTGTCTAGTTCTTCTTTTTAGAAATAAGCTAATTAAAACTGACACAATTCAGAAATATTTCTTTTTTTATTGATTGAAAATTCATTGCACTTGAAAATTTAGTCAAATCACCATCATAGATTAATAGCTTAATAAATATTGCTAATAAATTTAATATGCAATTGACATGAACATATAAATAACAAGTTTACCTGATCAAGAATGTGTGAGTTGGGAATTTCCTCCATCAGTCTTTTAGCCACCCCAATGTGAGACTCCGGGGAATCAAAGGCGGCACTGGTGGGAGTTCTCACAATTTCGGCACCAAGAGCTCGCAAGACATCAACCTATACAATGCATTAATTCAGTTAGATATTAATAATTTCTTAACTTTTTCTCTGCTCTGAAAACAGTCCTTTTTAAAATTTAAAAAAAAAAAAAAAAAAAAATGGCCTTTGCATCTGGGCCAAAAAGAATGATATAGCATATATGACCTATGTTTTGTGGATCCAAAAGAGCACTTTTTAGCTTCAAATTAAACTTAACTTCAACAAATGTTTGAACAGCAACTTCAAATTTTCAAAATGAAAAGTGAAAATAAAGAAATTGTCTATAGCCTTGAGTACTTAATTCATTTAACATGGAACACGCATTTGACTTTAAGTAAAAGTCATTACCTTTTCCATACTCATTTTTTCAGGCATCACAATTATGCATCTATATCCTTTCACAGCAGCAGCCAAGGCAATACCAATACCTGAAACCCAAAATCAGGTCAAGTGGATTAAATACTTAAAATTTTTTCCAACCTCTTATAACGAATCAGTAATATTGTAATATATGTAATGTGCAAATAGGTAACACATTTCGCTACTTGACTCTTGCAGATTTATGATAAACCAGAGAAATTTTAAGTCACTAAAAATCTTCTTCAATGTAAAGTAGTTAAGAAGTTGCAGATCAGCACTAGATCTGACCTGTGTTGCCTGAGGTTGGCTCTATGAGGACGTCCCCGGGTTTTACATGACCTGCTGCCTCAGCATCCTCTATCATCCTCAGTCCTATCCTGTCCTTCACACTCCCACCAGCATTGAAAAATTCACACTTAGCATCTAAAAAAACATTAAGAAAAAACTTCACATAAAAAATATATATAGCATCTAAAAAATCAAAACCAGTAGATGAAAATTTTAAACAGAAGATAATACATGTATATAAAAGGATAATGCATGTAGGTTCATCAATTAAAACTCTCAAAAGAGGAAAGATAAAATCATTAACCAAAATTCATTGGAAACTGCATTCTGCAGAGCCATTTACAATCTACTTACATTTATATCATATTCATGTACATATGAATCAAATTCATTTCCTTGAGTGATACAGACTATACATTGAGTAAAAATTAGTGAGACCCTAAACCTCTGACTTAAGTAATTATATTTTACTCACAAATATCACACTGGAGATCTTCTTCCTTTGTTATTCTGTTGATCCTAACCAGTGGAGTGTTACCAATATTGTACAGGACATTAGGCATGATCTTTGGTTTGGGTTTTCTAAATGGAAATTACAAGTACCGTATGCAGTTGCTTGTATTAAAACTATAGGAATCGTTAAAGGGCGAACATGGTAAATACAACATTTTTTTAGGCAAATAAAATCTTTGATTCTTGATTAAAGTGGTCTTGACAGAAATACAAAATCATGAAAATGCTATTTATATTAATATTATGAAGAAAGATTCCACATGGCAACAATTATTTCTTTTATAATGACATATGGTGGAACCAGATTTCATGCTTACAACTCCTTGTGGTTGTGAGGGGAGTCTTTCATGGACTTAGCCTCGTAGTATGTGCATTTACTGGGCAGGTCCGGTCTCTGCCAGTTACGGAAAGGGCTGCTACCAGCTACGGGACATTTCTTCTCAGACATTGTTACCTTAAAAAGAGCATTAAATTTATATTATCAAGCAATTTAAATTAAGTAGTCTAGTCTTTCAAAATAAATTCAAGCAAAGAGACCAATGGACCAAAATGCTCAACTGCATGAGTTAGCTTAGCATAAGTTTTCCATCGGCAGTTTTTTTCCTTATAGGTAATGTCCTTATATCTAATTTTTTGATTGCCTGTTGTGGCTTCTTCCCAACCCCTAGCAGCTTTGATTAGAAAAAAAATGAATCTAAACTAGTGACTTTATGCTTTTACATTAATATGCCATGACTAATCATAACTTTGAGCTTCGTAAAAAGAAGATATTTAAAGAATTCATTAGTAAAACACTGATCCCCAATTTCTCTCCCCCCCCCCTCCCAAGTCATGATTTGAACATACCTGAATCGTAACATGTACTATATCAGGATGTTTCCAGAAGAAGATTTCCCATTTATGTGCTATTTTTGAGAGGAAGATTTTAAATGAATATTTCCAATTATTCATTGAAAAATTTGATTATCCATTGTGTCCCCACCTTACCCTGGAGGCTGAATATATAATTTAATATGTTTTACGGTGTTACCGTTGAGGCGAGCGCAGTTGTACCATCAAAACACTTGATAATAGTATTGATCAGCCACTTCAAACATCGAGTCGCACGAGACATCTCGACTAGCTGTGACGTCACACGACGTCACGGTCACGGAGCTCGTTGGAGCTTACGGAAACGGCCGAGCGTCTGGTTTAAAGTATAGACCTAGCACAATTTTGGTCGAAAAACATCGCAGAGTTATTTTTTGTTTCTTTGAAAGATTTCTACAAACTGAAAGCTTTTTATGCTTTACGTTATTGTTTATTTATTTATATATTTCACGGAAGCAAGCGGCATGACTTAATTAGCATATCGTCAAAATTCGCAAGTTTCCGGTGACGTCATATGTATCATTTCCGAAGGGCAAGGTGAAGGCCAGTGTTGTGGCATAGAGGTATTTTTTTGAATAAGGCAAGGCAAAATCATTTCGTTAAGTTCTCGGTAAGAAACAATGTTCCTTTATTTTTTTAACTATTTTTGATTTATTCGCGCAAAGGACATTGGGTAGTGCAGGAATTCTGGAATGTTTCACAGAGAAATTTGCCTGACGTATGTACAGATTTCATTCCGAATTTCCTCTGTTCTTATACATTAGTCTATTGAGCTCGCTTCGCGAGCTTTGCTTCGCGACGCTCGCTGTGCGCTCCCTATAAATATAAAGTTATAAACTTTTCTCTATGTCAGGAAACTTTGAATTCACATATTACAAGTTTACTCATTTATAATCAAGTGGTTCTTCATCAGATTTTTGAAGACTTCCAACAAAGTTTTATTGACTTTATATGGCAAGATTTCCCGAACCACTTTGTGTAACACTGGTCTGAGATTTATGGTTAGTACAAAATTTTTAATCTCAACAAATATTTGTTGGTGAATGTGATTATACTATAACTAGGATACACTTGAGAAGAGTCACAGTGCTCTGACGGGTTAAAAGAGGAAAGTGAGAGAAAGTAAAAAAAAAATCAATAGAATGAAAAGGAAATAGTAGAGAAACAGTATTCACTACCCCCCCCCTTTCTTTTTTTCTTTTTTGAGTTAAATAGTAGTCAGAGACAATAATTTATAAAATACCTTTGATGTCTCTGATATCCTAGTAAAGTACATCCAACAAAAAAAAAAATCTTTTTCTGAGTCGATATCGACTTACGTGTTCAAGAATCTTGTTCCAAATTACGCACTTACGACCCTACCTGATTTTACTCAATACTGAAAGATGAAGTTTAAGAATAACGATAAAATGTTGTCCGACAATTAGGCCAATCCTCCACGATTTGTCAATTCGATTGGACGAAATGTATTTACCCACTACGTTGTAATCGTCTGACCTTCACCTTCAGGAAGTCACCTAAGGCGAAACAGAGTGGGAACTAATTACCCTGAAGTCACATGGATACCTGTGATTCGGGATAATTTTTTTAACATTAATGCATTTACCAAATGTTCTATATAATATATTTATGAAGCATTATTTAAGTTAAGTTATAAATATTCATTCAAATTTAATCTTGAGTCCTCTTGGGTTTCTTTTTTGGTAAATCGGGGCTTTCCGAATACGCTGATGTACGACTTATCTAGACTCTTTATATGATTCCCGCACGGGGAAAAATAAACACTTGAATTTCGTCTGCTGAAGTGGAAATGTTACTAAATTTGCTGACTTTCTTCGTAATAATTCATGGTAAGAAACATACCTCATTGTGTGTAATTTTATTTTGTTACTTTTTTGAAAATTGCATACGATAAAACCCAAAATAATAACCCAATAGTAATAACTAGGCCTAAAACCAGTAGGCCTAGCCTTCTGAATATCGAGAATTTTTATTTGTTTGTGTTTTGTTCAAGAAACCCCTATTTTCACTGCATTTGTTTTGTCATAGATTAGACCTATTGTTCTATTTCTTAATAAATAAGGTTTATATTAGAACACATGCACAAGTTCTGTAATAATTACAATAAAAAATGAAATGAATTAGGCAGTATATCCTCCCTCAATTCTCTTAATAGAAATTATATGGAGAGGCATATGGATGTAAGCTTTTAATACATGTGCACTTCTCTAAAGAGAAATCTGGTCCTCCATGTACTTTTGATATTATGGAATAGGGAATGTCCTCTCAAACTTATGTTGTACATACCACAAAGCTTGACAGCTAGTATGTACCTAAAATCAATAATTTTATTCTCCCCTCCCCATCTCTCTTCTTCAGGCTTATTTTGTAGTTTAGTTTTGAGAAGAATATATTAGATGCATCAGTGTAGCCTGATTTTCGAACTCTAAGCTGATATGATAATTTCTAGAATGATCTGATTTCATTTGAAATGTTGATTTAAACTGTACCATGTTTACAGTAAATAACTGCATTTAATGCATCTCATCAAATTATATGCATATGGAAAAAATACAGAATAGTGTTTTGTCGCCCTTGTGTGGCAGTGGTAAGAGTATTTGCTGGAGTTGTAGAGTAAGGAATTGAGCCTTATGTCGCAGGTTCAGATCCCAAAGAAAAAGATCCCTCACTGCTTAATGGCCCTGAGTGCAGAGTATCTGTAGCTATATAAAACAAAATTTGCAGTTATCCACTGGCAAATGGTGGCGCTGAACAAATCTCATAAGGGACATTAAACAGTATACAAACAAACAATATATAAATGGTGCCTGTTTTTGAGGGTAACATTTGAAATTGACACCCAAGGAAAACTATTGTCAACCGACGCGTCAGCGGAGGTTGACAATGGTTTTCCGAGGGTGTATTCAAATGTTATCCTCCAAAACAGGCACCATTTATTTTATTATACTGAATGTCTTATTGATTTAGCACGTCAGCAAAAAAAAAAACCCCAAAAAACCCATATATATTCAAATTCGTTTTGTATTTCAAATTGTTTAAAATGGCCAAATCACTTTTTTCTTTTAAATTTACATTCCTCCAGAAAACAATCTAAGGTTGATTTCCAATTTTCTTACGCAACCATGAAATAATTAGTATGTTCAATATCAAGGAATTTCACTTTTATGTTGAAAATTTCCTTATTTGTTTCTAGACCTACAAGACCTATGAAGCTATTCACTGGGTCTACCCCAAAATTTTTATTAAAATCTAAAAATGAATATAATGTAGCCTAACATTACACTTTTATTGCAGCATTTCCATGCTGGTTTCTGAATCAAAAAAAGTTAACTATGTTGCACTAGTGCTTCTGATGCAGTAGTGCAGCTGTATAATAATTGATATTTGTAAACTTTTTTTTTTACACAGTATAGAAATTTACTGCTTTCACATGACTGGTATTTGAGGCTGCATATAAAATTTTAATTCTAATAGACTGATAAAAAGCAGAATAGAAAAAAATATTCTGTTTTATTCAATAAAATAAGATCAATACCATTTATAACCAGAATGCTAAATTCCCCATTCTTCAGCTTGGCATCCCCGTAGCTTACAGTGGCTTGGTAATGACCCTCCTGCTCCATTTTAATGTGCATTGTGAGGTGTTTCTTGTCGGGATTATAAATCATCTGGGTGGCTGGGAAATATCGCCTACTGCTTTCTGTCTATAAGACACAAAGAACAACATATATCCCCACTGTAATACGAGGGATAACACCTCTAGCCACCAGCCTACAGACATCAATTTTGCATAAAGGCAATAAAAATGTATACATTGAAGATTAAAACATAACACAGCATGGGAATGACTATTTCCTATTTTATCATTTCAAATAACCCAACTATAAACACTCAGATATCCTCTTTTCCTAAAAAGAAATATTCTATCTCATTATTACAAGTGTTGATAGCTAATTACATTTTTACCTCTGTAACTTTAATCTTGAAATAATTATTTTGATCAGCTTTGTATACAGCAGGATTGCCAAAGGAGTCCTGGGTCTCAATGGTAAGAGGATAGGGCATCCCAGCACTGCAGACAATTGTAGAACAGTAATTTGTAAAACCGGACTTCCCAGCATCGATGGGACCTATAATTAGACAAAAAAATTGTTTGCATTTAGTTACAATGTGCTTCTGACATGTATTTAATGCTCTGAAACTTTTTAAATTGCACATTAAGTAGTCACAATGAAAACTACAATATACAAGTACATGTGCGTCTATAGAATTTTAACAATGCCTCAAATGTATTGCAATAATTTAAGTGCAAATGGATCAAATGGAGCAATCCATTCAAAATTCAAAAATAAAACTGATAGAAAAATAAAATGAAGTGACTAAGGGCTAAGGTAAGTCACTATATATGGCCCTGATGTTTTTCAGCAACAGATTTGGTTTCCCATTTCTTCTTATATATATCCATTTCTATTTGTTTTCTCTGTGATAACTCCTTGAAAGTTATTGGATTTGATTAATTGAACATTCTTCCAGCATGTAAATTTTTGTGATTGATACATCAGTTGCTAAAGAGGCCAAATGTGCATAAAAATCACAAGCATCTGCCTTTGTGTCTGATGATAAGGAGGTCTAACATGCATGCAAATCTTGTGTGGATGTCTTTGTGTTTGACATCAGTGGGCGGGGACTATTGAAATTGACTTGGAAGGCCTCATGTTATTTAAATTTATTAGACTACATTTTTAAAATCTAAAGTTACAATTTTATTTCACAATGAAATGGAAATATAAGTGTAGTTAGAATCATTAACGATAGTTGGAAATGTGTTATAAATTATCCCACGTTTCCAACTATTGATGATGCCTTGGCATACTCTGCCACAGACATCAACGATAGTTGGAAATGTGTTATAATTTATGCATAACGGGCATACACTACTACCTAGACAGTGATTCCTTAAATAATCTTGATCATATGTTTAATAAATATGCTCTAACATAGATTTTAATGCATTTTGCTGACCAAAAATGGAACAAAGATAATTTCTTTTGAACAGATAATTGAGAATGGTTAAAAACTTTAAAATTCATCTTATCACAAGAAACTTGTGCATTAAGAAATGAATTAGGCAGAGCCAATTTTATTACCTTAAAACTGAAATAACTACATGTATAAAATGGCAAATTTTTAAGGAATAACTGCCTATAACAATATTAGCTGATAGTTGGTATGATCGAACAATAGTCCAGTACATGTACTCGAATATTCATCGACATCTCTCATTTCAAGGTCATATAGTTCAAGGTCATAAAATTATACCACAGCTGAATACTCTCACACTTATCTATTTCAGTGTTTAATAAGGTTCATATTAATTAATCTTGAACATGTAGAAGGTCAAGTTCAATATGACTTTAGTTGAAACTGTTAACAGAGTTTTATAGATTTTCTTGAATAGATTTTTTTAAAAGTATTTAATTGAATAAATTCCACTCTAGTAAATCCGAACATTTCATGAAAATGTAGACAAAAATGTCTGTTCAGTGTTTTAATTAAAAGAAAGGCAGTGTTTAATTCTCACCTGGCTCAAATCTCTTAGTAAAAGGACTGCCTTTAACATGCCTTCCTGATACCATGATTGAGATTTTATATGACCCAGATTTGTGGACAGTGAAGGAGGTTTTTATTGCGTTTTGATCCGTGTCATCTGTGTCCAGCTGTTTTGTACTGGCAACCTGCTCGCTTTTCAACTGGATGACAATATTGGCAGCATTTGTAGAACTGGTTACATATGGTTTTCCATTTTTTCTATAGAGCTAAAAGGAAAAAAATATATTACATGTACCTCTTAATTAAAAAAAAAAACAAAACAAATGTGATCATATAAATTTAATTCATCTGATATTGATCTAGCTGGTATGGAATCCCGACTTTCTGCACTAACAACCTGTCCCACTTCCATGCTGATATGGATACTTTTTGTGCCTCTATCGTAGGAGAGTTACAATCTTGAAACTCGCGTATTACAAGGTAGTAAAAATTGAATTGTTAATAGTTCAAATAAAAACTCATGTATTAACATATAAATTTAAAAATGAATCAGTGCAAAAATATAATCCTTAAAATAAATATAAAATACATGGTTACTGTCTTGAAATATAAGCCATATTTGGGAAAAGGTAAGAAAACATAATAGAGGGCGAGACTAAAATTGTCAACCCCTTTGTCGCGTTTTTGACCCAAGCCCAAATATCACTTACAACTGAGGAGAGTAACAATTTATTTTGTTTACCCATGTGGTGTAGTGGTTAGAGCATCTGCTCCAGAGTCGCAAAGTAAGGAGTTGATTTTTACCTTGCAGATTCGAATGAATGAGACCGTATATATAAACCAAGGTCCCATGTTGCAGTAGGTGCTGGCATGTATTTGGGTAACCCGATAAATTTTAGAATTTTCTTTTCAAGAAAAGCAAAATCATGATTAGTCTTATTAAAATGAAAGCATACTGTACATTGAAGTTTACAGTTCAAATCATGTCCCTCAGGTACTGTAAATCACTTTTTATTCGCGAGAACTTTATTTTCACGTTATTACGCAAGACAGTAAGCACGCGAAATATTCATTCTCGCGTATAATAGGATTTCTTAAGATTATATAGAGAAATATTAACAATTTGTGAAAATTATGTCTCGCTTATAAAGAGTCAATGACTATCTTGCGAAAATAAGGTGTCGCGAAAATTAAGTGATCTACAGTATACGATGGGTTCACAATGATAGTGGTAATATTTTTGTTAAGGACATTATGAACTTAAAAAGGAAAAAAGACCTATGTTGACCTTAGTTTAAATGTACATCTATGAGCACATGATATGAATTTCAATTTTCAAAATTTAATAAAATGTATTCAAATAGATCGTTTTACATGATCGTTTTAAATGCTAAATATGCAGCAATGGAAGCTCTACCTAGCTTCTCTGTAAAGTTCAACAATACTCACTACCAGAGTGACTTTGACACTTCTCTTCACATCCTAAATGTTTCCTTCTCAGGCTGGAACTTATACCTGTTCTCTTAACAGTGAGAGCAAGTCATTTGAGCTGTATGTAATAGGTAAGGTGACATTTTCTATGGTGTACTCATTATAATTATATTTTTTTGGATAGGCTGACAACTGAGCTAGGATAAATGAATGTTCCTGGACAATCCAGGCACATATTTATTTAATTTAAACATATTAAACAGCATTGAAGTTTTTCAATTTCTGAACATCAGTAATTTCAAAAATAATTAAATTTTGAGACATCCTAAGCCAGTTTCAGGACAAAGAAAAAGTTCCTTAAGATTTTCTTAAAGGTTTTAAAGTACCATATCTTTTTAAAGAAACCGGTACATCTTTCTTTCATTTTCCATACTGGTTACAAGTATTTAAGAGCCATTCTCTGTAATGACTTGAACTTTTATATAGGTGCTGTGGCACGCATAGTCTCAGAATTTCTCCAAACTCTCTGTGATAAAAGTCTTTGATACCCTAAACTGAAATCAGGCAAAAATTGGTTGTTATGCTTTATAGTTACCATGGCAACATGTCTTAAAGTTCGAAAAATGGCATTTTTTAACATGTTTAGAGCCCCATAGTTAACATTTGCGGCAAAGCAAACAATTGGTAATGACTGTTTCCAAAAGTTGAAGGTCAAATGTCTCAAATGCATGATAAACATGTTTGGTAAATTAACTATTACATACGTTACTATGGTAACAAAATATTCAAAAGTAAAAAAAATATTCATTGAATTTTATAAAGTCATACACGTAAAAATAAAAGGCAATTATAGGATGAAATGTGACCAAATAATAGAAAAAAGAGCCTTGAAACTTATACCAAGAACAAAATATGATATTTCAGGTTGGCAATGGTTGCCAAGGTTTTTATACCACAGAGAGCCTTCAAAGTAACACTCTGGTTCCAATCTGATCCTATCTTTAAAAAAGCACATTTCCTCATAACTGATGATCAATTTTTGAAGATGTTGGTGTGCTCCTAGTTTTCCCATGAAAAAATTCAGTTTAGATTCTTTAAATAGAGCGTTGCTATGGAAATAAGCAGAAATATATGCTTAAAAACCTGAAAAATATTTTCTGTCCTTGGATACGTATTCTAGTAGATTCCCAAAACTTTTATGATTGATATTTATTAACAGCTTACCTGACTTTTAATTTTGACTATCATCCAATCTCTAAGTGGATGCAAGAAGTTGGCACACAGGGTTTAATATTAATATAAAGTTCACAAAATCGAACATTTTCCCTTCTTGGTAACCATAGCAACAGTGTTGTTTTCTTCATCAAATTTTATCAATATTAATTTAGTTCTAACAGATATATGATTCAACATCATTTAATTTTTTTTCTTGTTTATATGGCAATTTAATTCTTAATGTTTCACTTTTAAGCACTGGTACTTTGTTTCCATGGTAACACTGCAAAGTTAATTTCAAAAATGATATTAGCCAATTTTCATGTTTTTCCTCAAGACAGTAGCATTAATCCAAACTTAGTTACTTATTTTGCATGGTAACACTGTGTTACCATGGCAACCATAAAAGTTATTTATAGAATAATGTTGCTTATACTTATATACTTATGGTTAAACATTTTCATTGTTTTTCTTAAGTCGTTGATTTTCACCTACCATAAAGGTTTTTTCAGCATATTTCAGCATTTTAAATGTATTCCAAATGTATCCTTGGTTACCACTTACTTAGAGATATATTCTAAACATTTTCTTTACAGTATAAATGACATCAAGGTGTCATGTTTTTGTGAGAATGACTTGTTTGCTTTTTCTATTTTTATTTAGCCACAGTAAGGATTTAAAGTGGCTGAAAATCTCGATTTTTCGAACTTTTCCGGCTGTTGCCATAGCAACCGAGACACATAGCAACGAAATTTTGTTTGATATTTGTTTCTGGTGTCAAGTACTAAGCATGGGTAAAGTTTCATCAAAATCGGTGACCATGCGTGGCAACGAAGTTTAAGTGGTTACAGAGAATGGCTATTAAATACATGAGGTTTAATTGTTTCTTTCAAAAAACCTTACTGCCATAATTATAACAGTAGTGTGATAGTGAACCAGCAGGCCTATTTTGACTGCAGTGTCAATTTTCATGGAAATGATCGCCCTGAAGTGAGTTGGAAACATGGCAACAAAGAGCTGAACTTCTCTGTTGATTTCGAAAATGAAACCTACACCTTAGCTCGCATGTCATTGGTTGCTTCAGAGGAAGATGATGGAAAGGTGTTCATTTGTCATGTTACATTTCCTTATGTCCATAATGGTTTTATCTGCCAAGCTCTCCCAAAGCTGAAAGTTTATTGTAAGTAAGCTTCATACTAGTATGACATTAGGAATTTGATATAAGCATGGGAAATAGTAATTGAGCACATGTATGTACATGGTAATTGACCTTAATCATTGGTCAGGTTGTTGTGAAGAAGAATAAGATATTAAAAAGATTTTCCCTTTATATCCCTATGTCAATGTTAATTAGATCTGTGTAAAAGTAATAAATTCAGAATTAAGAAAGTGATATCTATAAAGCATTTGATCTGAATTAGATCTGTATAAAAATTATGAATTCAGAATTGAGAAAGTGATATCTATAAAGCCCTTGATTTGCACACTTATATTTACAGTTCCTGTGAAAGAGACAGACATTATTCTTAGTCCATACAAGAAGGAGTATGAAGAGGGAAGCAATATTCTTCTTCGTTGTGTTGCCATAGGAGAGCCCCACCCCCGTTACAATTGGACATTCACCCCCCTTTCTGACCCCCTTAATGAATCTGTGAGGTCAACTCATCCAGCTTACAAAATCGTCAATGCCCACAGAAATGACATAGGAAACTATACATGCATTGTTCACAATGAAATTAATCATACAGTGTATACAGACACTAAAATTGTCTTCTTGAATATAATAGGTAAGAATAAATTAATTTCTGTTAAAATACAAAGAGAATGCACTAAGAGATTTTAAAGAGAAGAATTTTTATTTCAAAGTATTGTCATTTTAATATGGCATGGAAATTTAGATAGCATCAATTATTCCAAAATATTTTAGTACAGTGTAGTAATTATATAAAAATCACCACTCCCCATGTCTTCTGTTTTAAAGCACTGGAACATAATCAAATTATTATGCAGTTTGAATATAAGGCGTCATTTCAGGCAGAGAGAAAGTAATTTTGTCTAAAAAAATTTTGTAGAAAATAAAGTAACAACAGTAAAACCTAAATACAGAATGATGCCAAAGCCAACAGAGGACAAAGGAGATGGAGACATTAACTGTAAGTAATTATCTGAGAAATTTTCTTATGGATCATGGGATGACATCTTCTGTGATAAAGTTGATTTTCCACTTGGTAAATGTATTTGTAAATTTTTGAATGTGTCTCAATTCCTGCAGTACATGTACAGTTGATACTGTCACTATCTGTCATGATGTAGGTTTGATACAGGGATACACTGATGATGATTCTGTCAATATAATGTATTTACAGTTTAATACAGATGTACTGATGATTAGGTTTTTGTTTCAGTCAATGCCTATGCTGTAGGAGCTGTTGTTAGTTCACTGCTAGCCATTCTGCTGATTGTAGTCTTCATCCTGCTGGCCATCAAATTCAGGGTACGGGTGATATAAAGGAGTTTCATTGAATATCACATGTAGTGTTTTGTACATAACAGCTGGAACTAGATAAAATATGCATGAAATAAATTTTGATATCTTACTTAAGACATTAATTAGTAAAAATTGATGTTTTTTCCTCTGGTAATTAGGCAAGAGAGCAGAAATACAGAGAAGGCATGTCCCTGGTGCAGGATGATTTTACAGATGAT